TAAGCAACATTCTCTGTATCTGCCAGCTTTGAGATCAAAGGCCCATAGCCTTTGATATGAACAAGAGTCTAGACCCGATAATTTGCCGGCTTTCACCTTGAAGCGGCCGGCAAAACTTTGAAAACAAAGCCCAACCGTTGCGCAAGAAAAGTTGGAAGAATTTGAAACAAGTGCCTTCTGCCGTTTTACCGCCACCGTGGATGCTGAGCGCAGGCAAACTAGACAACGCGGATAGGCAAAATCGATTCGGGCTGGTGAAACAAAGGCGGAAATAAATGTACCAGTGTATGGGTCGATCCGGCTCCCCATAATCAGAGGCATTCTTGAATGTCACTGAACGAGCCACTCAGCGTCATCGATTGTCCTTGATTTACCGGAAACTGGACCGACAAATGAGTTCCATGCACATACATGACTATGAAGCGGAAGCGAATTAGGTTGTCTTGATCGATTGTCATCCGAAGGCGAAATCAGAGGGTAGATAAACAGAAGAAAATCAATCACACTGTTGCACTGGCCTTAATGAATAACTTTCGTTGGATATCCTGATGGTAAAGAATCTTGCTAATAATTACATCTTTAAACGAGACTTCATTTTGGTACAATATAGAAGTGATACAGCAAACAAAATCTGAGTCATGAAGCCTTGTCTGAGCTCTTTTCAAGAATAATTTAGTTCATAAATGTAATACACTACTCATAAAGTTGCTGAAAATTTCTTGACAGCCCACGAACAGTTTCGCAGTCCTCGAGTTTCCATCAGTCTTATGTTCTGCTTGAACCCAAATTGCATGAAATTAGCGAAATACACTCATTTGTAAATAAATTTGGTTTTTCGGGAGACTTATTTGGAACCCGCCTGAGTCTCTCATTTATGATGTTTTAAAGCAACTGAATGTGCTGCACTGGGCCGCCTTATGTTTGATTGGTACGACGTTCGAGATATCGCGATGCATGTATAGACGTAATATACTACTAATAAGGTCGCTGAAAACGAAATTGCTTTGCAAATGAGTGTATTTCAACAATTAAGGCATGTTAATTTCAGCGGTAATTTAGAGTAACCTTTCCAGCGCTCTCTCCCTGGAGGATCCCAGTTAGACTAAAGATGGCCCATAAAGAAACTCCACAAGACAGGAGTAATTGATATAGACCATCTCACATTCGCATCTTTTCCCCATGAACAGTCCTATTGCTGTCCTGTCCTCAGTAGGCAAACTCGAGTTTCCACTTTATTAGTTCCGTTCAGAAGTGGATATCCATGATTTTATTGGGAGTTGGCCACCGGAAATATGACAAGCAAGGCGAGGGTGTCATCATTACTGAGCTAGCGCGACCTGGAAACACGTAAATGATCACGTGAAACAAGTTCGCCCAACGGTTTGAACGGCAACACAGTTAATGTTCTGGAGGATAGTTTCCTTTATGAAAATATAGTGCGATATCTCGAATATCGTGCCAAATGAAACATGAGGTGGCCTGTGTGCAGCACATTCAGTTGTAGAATATCATAAACGAGAGCTTCAGTTGAGTCTCTCGTGAAAACCAAATTGATATGCAAATGAGTGTATTTCTCAAAAACAGTCCGATTTGTGTTCAACTAGTACGGAGACTCAGGGACTGCACCTACCTGATGAGCCCCAAGAAGGGCGAAACCAGTCGTGGGCTGTCGAAGAGTTTTCAGCATCTTTGTGGGCCGTTTCGTTTATGGAAGTAAATGTTCTACCTTTGTCCATCCGTTGATTCGCCCGTCAGAATTGTGCAGCCAGGTAGAACCACAGAATCTTAGGACATGAGGATTAGTTTATATTAGCCGTAGGCATCTCCCGGAACGTGATCTTGTTTCACGGCTGCCTGAAGGAGATAACCAATTGAAACTATCAGCTAAGAGTGATGATACCGTGCACTGCCTCCGAAGGGCAGAGATAAACTCCAAGAGGGATGAAACCGGTCGTGGGCCGCTTATGATTCTCAGGAAATTACGGACAGTTTTATGAATAGTTCCATCTTGAAAAAAACTACAAAAGGTTCAAGTAGAACACAACCCTGTAAGTAGTTTCATTGATCTGCAACTATTGGACACGCACTGCGACGCATACAGGGCCACACTGACAACTCAAACTATTTCAAGAGTTTGCTTTCGTCGCCTTAAAGATGATGTAATCAAATAAAATAGAAAAACCTTTTTTGTTAACAGTTGTTAGGCTAACTAGTATATAAAACGTATTGGAAATGTCTTCTGAGACGCAGTTATTGACAAACTAGCGGTACAGGGAACGGCAAAATTTTGGAAAGAAGTTGATCGAACTTGCGTTGACTGCACTGTAGATAAACGTTGACCTCACCAGTGATGGCAGAACAGGGTTACGTCTTCACTAAGCGGTTGAAACGGTTCGATAGTAGACAACCTGTTTAACTATGCAGAAACTCATCGTTTAGGCGCAGTCCACGTGTTTCCGTCAGCCTTGTGTTCCATTTGAGATCTTAATTTTACGCGAGCGGATGACTACACCTGCACTGGAAATTGATCGACTGCCGTCTCGTGTTTCTGTTGGTATCTACGCCAAGAAAGCCACTCGACAGTGCACGACCGGTTTGACAATTTTTGGGCTCATCAGATAGGCGCAGCCGCGGTTGTCCCAGGAAATTCAACAAACACACTAGTTTACATGCTTATTTGGTTTTAACAAAAGACTCATCTGTTTGTACAATATTCGAGATATCTCAGTATTTGTTTGATTGAGAAAAAAGTGCTCATAAGTTTGCTGAAGACTGTCACATAGGATAGCGGATGGATCAAACCAGGTCCCCAGAGCACGCGCTTACATTTTGCGCAACTAAAGTGCAGACGTGTCTTCCTAAACATTCATTTGCAAACTAATTTGGTTTTTTGGGAGACTCACCTGGAACCCCGCTGAATCTCTCGTGTTTGAGGTTTCCAGGTGACTGAATGTGCTGCACCAGGCCGCCTCATGTTTCGGTCACTACAATACTCGAGATATCTCGATACATGTTTGCACGTAATGCACTACTCATAAGGTTGCTGATACAGTCCACACTGGAACTAACAATGCTGACAGTGGTAATATCAAGGCCCAGCTCACGGTGAGCCTTACTGGAGTATGTCGTGAACACCAATGCAATTTGCAAATGAGCACATTGTGTGAACTGCGTACATTTCGGTGTGCATGTAGAACACGGAAGTGCTGGGCCTCCTTCTATCCTATGAGCCCCAAGAAGGAGAGAGCCAGTCTGTCGAGCGGTATTCAGCACCCTTCCTAGTTTTTCAATCATAAAAATATACTGTAATACGTCGAATGTGACCCATATGGGACGTATTTGGTTCACGAATATCCCAAGCGACAAATTTAGTCGAACCTCCTCTGTTAACACCGTCGTTCGCTGATGAGTTTATGTCGTCGAGGCTGTTTGTTGGCCTCCGAATGGCCTCGATGGTTTCACAGCACAGTAGAAAGTCTTCTTCTGGCAACACAATTTCCCGCGGGACGATGGTAATCTACTGTCCGATAAGATAGAAATCTCTGCGTTAGAAGGACCTGTTGTTCGCTGCATTGTGCAGTCCAGGGGGAAAGTTGCGGCGGTATTGCCTTCTCTTGTCAATGATGCGCACTCAACACTCGTGGTATCAGACACACCCTGAAACGCCGTCTTGGAGGGACAACTTGAGTTCAAATGCAGTGACTGTCTTCACCAACTGAACCCCCCCTCCGTCCACAGGTCTTGATTCTGCTGACAAGTGATCCGGCTACAATATTTAGAAAATCATTACAATAGTTGAGTGTGAAAAGATTCAGTGAAGAATTTGTTACACTACAAGGAAAGTGCTACGCACCCAAAGACGTGATATCATGTTCTGAGTTCTTTGGGTGTGACGTGTCCGGCGAGGTTTTGCGAACATCGCTTGTAATCGCGGAAACGCAATGGAGCTCACTTGGACAGTGCTCAGTCAACGAATACTAGAAATTGTACTTTGACGTTGGCAACGCCGCCATTCAAATGGCAAGTACGCCAATGAATTGCCTGATCATTCACGGTGGTTACGTTTCTTGACGTATCGTACGAATTAGTGATCACAAATCCTCCTTTGGATGCCGCCTGAATAAACTATATTACAGGTAAGCGATTGGCTGTGGTCTGAATGGGAGAATTCACCCAAAATAACACTTAGCAGACAGGAAAAAACGTGAATATATTAAGAGTTTATGTGAGCTAATCCGGATCACGTAAAGTGATCGGGAGAGACAAGAAAGAATCGTCGTGATTATAGTTCACTATATCAAAATGTTTACTTTGCAAGCGTAGTAGGTACTAATTTTTGTTCGCTCACATTAAGCGTGCGCAAAACGCAACAAGTAGATCAGTAGTTGAATTCTAGGCAGGCAAAACTCACAATATTATAGGCGCCCCTCTGAAAAATACCGTCTTGCAAACGGACACATGTGTTACACTTTAATACAAGACCATGATGCGATTTTTGGTCGCTTACGTCTGAAAATTACCGTTTTGCAAATGAACACCTGTGTTAGACTTCGATACAAGGCCATGATGCAATACACGACAAAAGTACAATGCGCGTAATTGCAAATCGTTCGAACTATGAACAGCGAAGCAGCAGTACTGTTACTCCTCTGTGAATGCAGTTCACCTAGAGTGGGTTGTGTGGTCGTACACAGATGCTGATTGTGGGAAACGCACGGATAAGATTTCGACGTTTCAATGCCTTTTTCGATGTCATTTCAGAGATCTCTCCGTCAACAGACAGTCATGGTTTTGCCATTCTTCAGACATTACTACTAAGGGTAATTGTTTTCGAGAAATACACTCATTTGCAAATCAATTTGGTTTTCACGGGAAAATCAATTGAATCTCTCGTTTATGATGTCCTCCAGCTGAATATGCTGCACACAGGCCGCCTCATGATTCAGTTGGCACGATATTCGAGATATCGCGGTATATTTTCATAAAGGAAGATACCCACAATGTTTCTGGAAACTCTACAACAACCTACGACCGCTTTCGTCCTTCTTCGGGCCCATCAGTTAGTCGCGGTTCCCGTCAACTTTATG